GTTAATTGTTTTATTAAATATTATAAAATGTGATTGTCTGTTTTTGTTATTTGTATTCATAATTGATAAAGTTATCGTTTCTCGCATGAACCGGGCCTACTATGAATTTAAACATCGTAGAGCGCTAACAAACAGTGATGCATAAACAGAAGATAGGAGGGAAAAGGCGTGATCCTTACCGTAATTACGGTATACTCCGATCACATGTCTTTACCGTCTTTGCCGGGTCCGTATTCATGAACCCATTCTCATGCCCAAGCATGGAATTTGTGCTTATGCCTAGTTTCTTGTACCGTTAAAGATCGGTAATGAAACGTTATTATGCCAATAATTTTGAAAATATTTGAAGAGACTTAAAGCCAAATACTGTTTTCACAGTCTACATTTGACGTTTTGATCGTTTTACATGATTTAAGTTTGTTGCAAGAAAGTCAGTTTGAGCACAGAATCCATGTTTGAGCACGAGAACGGTTTCATGAATACGGGCCCTGCAGATCTGATACAAAACTCTGGTACTACGATTATTATACGACAGCCTACAATGAACAGGTAGTTCTGATGGTACAGTGCATGTTGTCGGTTTGCCCATAGTTGATTAAGGGAAGGGTGCTACATGCGAAACTTGAAACATTTCTCTCCCACGTTGCACCTGGTATCATACTGATACTCTTCGACTATTTCCGTTAGACGAGTTCTGTGTATTTCCGCGTTATGTCTTTCTGTTTCTTCATATTTAGAACACAATAACTTCCTATCTCAACTTCGTTAAAGTTTTCGAAATAGTTGCTGTATTCTTAAGCTGTTGTAGGAACAGTGTCTCTGTGACCGGGAAATAAGTCGGTCATTCTATGATGGGGAATACTTCTACAAATTGATTGTTAACTTGAACACGCGTCAATATAGGTTTTCATTTCATCTTTATAATGGTTTTATTGACAATCTCAGCAATTTTAGTTCGAAATCGTGCCATTCACCAGAACAATAAACCACACTCATGTGATGTGTTTGGAAAATTAGATGTCAGAAACGCCGATCTACTGATTCATACAGACAGGAAAAAATTGATATGTGAAGATTAGTCGTCAATGATATTGAAAATAGACGGCACTTTATTATTGTGACATAGTTCAAGGTTTCAATCACATTGTGTACATAATGTTGAGTATTAATTACGTAATTAACAACAGAGAAGAAATCCCATTATACAAATGAAATCTTCTCTTGTTGTGATTTTTAAATACTATGTTTGTTTACATTTCATATTTTCGGATGTCAAATAAATATGTATGTTATTTTGCAATCAATTATTTTAATATTTGCAAAATCACAAATTATGAAGGTATTAATATAATATTTTTATGTCTACCAAACATTCCCCCCCCCCCCCCCCCCTCACGAGATTACTAGGCCTAATATCAGTTGTATAACAACATACATAGTAATTAACCAATGAAAAGTGCCGTTACATCGCAACCATGGTATAATCTGTAATATCACCTAGAACTGTGTTGAGAGTGGTGATTATTCCATAAAACGTCCCGATAGGACAGTTTTTATTGAATATGATAACACTTTCCCTACCACAGTGACAATAAATATAGCATGTGGGATGACGTCATCGATAGTAGGTGATTCAAGATTGCGTCTACAACAAACCTGCTCCTTTAAAATGAATAATGGAGTCCGAACCCGACGGATATCGGTCTAGGCTGAAAAAACAAAGAATCTTATTTGGAAACTTCTATTATTTGAATTAGTTATTTTTAAAGAATGTAAATGACTCAGATGAAAATGGCGGTCCCATCGACGAGGGGGAGGAGGGGTGAACAGTTATATTTTTCAGTAGTTTGAAGATTCTACAAAAGTCGTTAATATCATTAAGACGACTGTCGTTTTAGATTTATCCAACTCTAATTGTGTATAAGTTCCCGTGGAGTCACGTGTTACATGTAAGATTTTGAAAATGTCCTATGGCACACATCCACACCTCCATTAACAGTAACACGTAAGACGAGGGAAGATACATCGGTTCGTGGAGAGACATCAACGGAAACAAATTGAAAGAGCGTAAAAGCAAACTGTCCGAGGACTTCAGTTACAATTGTACCACTGATACGGACACAATCGAAATGTGAGAATCAGCCTCATTCACGATTGATTAGTGAATACCATTTGAATCGCCAAGGAAATTCAGCAAATCACAATACGGAAGAGGAATCTCCTTGGGGAGATCCCGAAAATTAAACCACCAAAAACCATCAGACTGGATTAGATCCAAGTACTCCAAGTATACAGCACCGTGCCTGTGCAGGGATGCCCACAGCTCCCAAATTAAACGCCGATTTGGATTGAACAAGTCATTCTGGAGTTCCAAGAAAAGAAGTTGAACCAAGTTTCCCTGGAGTTACAAGAAAAGAAGTGGGCCCAAGTCAGCCTGGAGTTCCAAGATGAGAGGTTGGTCCAAATCATCCTGGAGTTCCAAGAAGATCAGTCGGCCCAAGTTATCATAGAGTTCCAAGACGAGAAGTCGGCCCAGGTCATCCTGGAGTTCCAAGAAGATCAGTCGGCCCAAGTTATCATAGAGTTCCAAGAAGAGAAGTCGGCCCAGGTCATCCTGGAGTTCCAAGAAGATCAGTCGGCCCAAGTTATCATAGAGTTCCAAGAAGAGAAGTCGGCCCAGGTCATCCTGGAGTTCCAAGATGAGAGGTTGGCCCAAGTCATTCTGTAGTTCTGAATAGAGAAATGGACGAAAGTCTCCCTGGAGTTCCAAGACAAGAGGTTGGCCCAAGTCTCCACGGAGTTCCAAGGAGAGAAGTCGACCCAATTTATCCTGGAGTTCCAAAACGAGAAATTGGCCCAGGTCATCCAGGAGTTCCCGAAGAAAAGTTGGTCACATTTCAAGCAGGCGCTGACAAAGACATAAAACCCCTCCGTCAAATTCTGAGCCCCAACTTGCGAGCATACTCAGAAATAGAGACTGCACTTGATGGTGATTGATGATGATGATTGTTGGAAGTGGTGGTGGGTATAGGTAAAAACTTATGAAAACAGTGCAAATTGTATGTTAATGTTAGTACATATCGTAACAGTGCATAATGTATAATGTTTCGTCATTTTGTAAACTGATATTGATGATTATTGATGGCTGTTGATTCTATAGTGTACGACATCCACATGTAATGAGGTCTATCAATATTGACGATCTTACCGCGAATTACGCCTCATCTGACGTCATCAGGTGGTTACTAGCCCTCTACATGTTATACACAACAACTACACATGTATATTACACACATGTGGTACACATGTTTATAACACACATGCGGTACCATACAAGAAAACGCATGTTAGACCTAAGATTCAGGGTTTGTGGAAAGAGTGTAGGGTCGTGAGGGAGGGGGCTACCCTCGCAAGGACATCATTTTGATGAAATTTAGGAAAGCTCCTATATCGTCTAGAGTAATTTTAGAGTTCCATTTTAGGTCATAATTATATGGTAGTTTAGCACTGAAGAAAATGTCCAACGAAACCGGGAAACATAGTCCAATGAATGCAAATTCCCATATGATTCAAAAAAGTATTGTAAAGTATAGCGAGACAATTTCACCTGTATTACACATATATAACAGTCACATATTTGTCTGGAAATTTTTTATTGTAAAAGTTGCCAGAAAGTTTAGGACCCTTGTCCTTTTGCGATAATACATAATATCCCGTTTGTGAAAAAATGTATATTGGTATACTAATTTTGGATTCAGTCTATAAAAAATGCGTACAAGATGAACATGTACAAGTCTATATATAGAGAGACGGATAGGCCTCTGGTTTCGGTCAAAAACGAAATATGAAATGCAGACCAAAAGACTCGCATTCCAATCTATTATCAAAATATGGAGTGATAACATCTACTATTTGGGGACAAGATGTTGGTATGTACTTGAAAATCAATTTCATGCGCCATTAATGTTATGGCAGATTAATAGAACCAATGGCTAAAATCATGAAGAAATTAGAAATATTTTTGATATCAGAGACGTATACAAATCTTTGGTATCATGCCTATCAGCCAAGATTACCATTCAACATACCATCATACAGTAACACCAGCTTTTAATTGAGCTACTTTGAAAATATCCGACTCCGACAATAATTTCTGAAAATGTTACCATGATTCAAAGGATTGTGCGCTCCTAGCTATAATTAAACGAAGCTTTAATTACAACAACCTTCCCCTACACACCCCGTTTATGTCCCGGGGGATGGGGTAGGGATGGTGGTTTGGGAGGTGACCCTTTCAATGTTCCTGCCAAATAAACCTCAGTGGCTTGATTGGTGTTTTTTTCTGAAGGTCGGTTCAAATAGTGCCCTCAATTAGCATGTTATTAGATTGTTTTCTGAAAGACGCAGGTAGGTAAGAAATAATCAATATGAAAATTAATTAGTTTTGAAATCTTCAAAATTTTATTACAACCATATTCATTTTTAAAACATGGTAATTAAGGCAATTAGGCATATTGAAATTGAACTATGATTGTAGGACTTTTTTTAGATACGTTGTACTCATTTCAAATGTTTATCAAAATTTAAACATCGTTGAAATTATGTACTGGCACTTTTGATAAAGACAATAATACACAATCAACAAAAATAAACCGATGTAAAATACAAAGTGTACATAGCTCGAAATTATACAGGTATAACGTTGAAAGGGAAGTCACTCTACAGCCTGGAAAACTGACATATTTTCAGAAACCAATAATAAAACGGTCGACACAAAAATACACCAACGGAGGAGAACCGCACGCGCTTGTTATAGTAGAGATCCGTGTGCGCTGTTTTCGCCACACGACGAACAAAGATAATGTCCGCCGATATTATAAAAGCATCGCTTTATTGAATATGCCACTTGCGAAACACATTTCTGAATGGTTACCATGGAGCAAGATCAACAGATCAGCATGAGCTAGTCTCGCGTGGCTCTGATTACTTATGCAAATGAGTATATACCTCCATGTTGTGACGTCACTGAGTGGCAGTAGGGCGAGTAGAAAATGGTTGTGTTCCACTGATGACATCTGAGAAATATATGGTTTGACAGTGCAACGAGTATCTTCATTACAAATATGCCTCTCTTTGGTAAAAAAATGGGAAAAGAGAAGGATGTTAAGAAACGATACATATTCAAGGAAGTGCTTGGAACGTAAGTACGGTCTTTATATTTAGACATTATTCTAATTACTTGAGGTCTCTATAACGTTTTCACTAAACCTCGACAGCCACTGACTAGCCAATAACACAGCATTGATATCTTGGGGCTATGTTTACACAGTGTTCTGTCAATGTAGACTGTCCAGTTTGTGCGAGGTTAAAAGTGTGGCCAGTTTAACATAATGGCACATATACCGGCGATTATATTTCAGAACGACAGGGTTAAATGTTAAGAGGTTAGAAAACGTCTGAATATTATATCGCCGACACCTGTTTGTTTGTTGGTGCACGTACATGAATCGATTTCTCAGCGTGCAAGCTTGAATGGCAACCTGCTGATTAAATGTACAAGAAGTAAACATCGGTGTTCGATTGTACCTCTGCCTCCATGACGGATGTATTTTAAAGTTTCTTTTTGTTGTGTATTGTACACAAGATATGACCCAGATATGACCCAGAAAAACATACAGTGTTGACATTACAATATACACATAAAATGTAAACGTGTAGTCTTAATAGACAGGAAGTCGTTTTCCATATAATTACAGATCAGCAAATGAATTAATTTATTTAATATACTAATTAATTTCAAAAAATTAAAAGTAAAAAAATAAAACTTTATTTTACAAAAATTATGATTTTTTTTTACAAATTATATAAATCACTCTTGTTTGCCGGGGTGTTAGCGGGCTGGCGTATTAGTGTTGAAGGAAACCGGGGTACCCGGAGAAAACCCATTTGGTCGGGCAGGTGACCCCATACCTTTTCATGTTCGATCGGGGAATCGAAAACTGCATGGCTGCCTTGGTAAAAGGCAAGTGCATTTTCCACTGCGCCTACCCACCCACCACCCAAGCAATTTTAAGCAATTAATTGGATATATGATGGAATGAAATTATGTGGTCAGGTTATTAGAAATTTAAGGTTTAGTCGTAGGGTTGGTCCTCATGTTAGTCGGTCATTACAGACCAGCTAGCACTGATTATAGGTGATCTCTACTGATAGACATCTCGGCAAGTTTAATTAAAGCATGATCAAATTTATTACCACTCATCTACACAAAATGTTTATGTAGTATATTCTTAAATATGAAAATTCATAACATAAGTTGTTTGTTTTGGGAATCATCCTTTGATGGCAAGAAAGTCGAAAACATAAAATTCTAACAAATTCTCAATAATATCAATATGAAAATTTACAGTAACAATCCATGAAGCAACTTTGTGCAATTTTAGCTGTGGTCTTAATTGACAAGTAGACTATAGACAGGTGGTCTTTGATAACCCCCCAGTGGTTTAAATACTCAGGCAGATGTTCTCTAATTATGTGTGGTCTTTATAGACAGGCGGTATTGATACACAGGTGATTTGTATATAGTGGTCTTTTGATGAACATATATACACAGGTGCTCTGTATATAGGTAGATTCTGTCTAATTTAAATTATATATGTTTTTTATTATAATTAATATGTGGTCTTTATATTTAGATGCTTTTTATAAGCAGGTGTTTAAATTATATATTATAATCTTTATACAGAAGTGGTAATAAATTATAGACAGGTGGTCTTTATATACAGGTTTTTGTTGTGGACAGGTGCTTTAATTATATTCTTATGGTCTTTATACATAGATGGTCTTTATATACAGGTATTTGTTATTGATAGTTGGTATCTTATGATATATATATGTGGTTTTTATGGACAGGTAATCTTTAATTATAGACATGTGGTCTTTATATGCAGGTCATAGTAATAATGATCTCTATAGTTATAGACAGGTTGTCTGCGCAGTCATCGGTTCACCCTCTAACATCTAACTCAACGGGATCCGATGGAAAGTCCTTGAGTCTGTCGGATACTGGCTAGTATAACTTCAGGCATGTTTCAGATGTAGGTAATGCATAACTGTAAATGTTATAAAGCGATGAATCTTTTTCGTAAAATTCTACCTCTGTCTACGAGCGTGTGACCACCTGTTCACAGTTTTCCTTCCGTGATGTCAGAAGAGAAACTAAGTCAACGTGAGAACAAATTTAAGCCATAGGTTTGTAATTGTAAGACTGGATCATAGGTGCTTGTGTCTGTAAATGGGCTTACTGAAAAATAAAAAGATGCTGTCGGAAAAATCTGGGCGTATTTTTTAAAGTGAGGCTGAATTGATACAGAAATATGTTTTCTTGACAAAATTGGACAACCAAGATAATCTTAAATATACCTTAATTGGTGTAAATTGTGAAATTGTAACAAAATAAATAAGGAGGAAACTTTGTTGAACAACATGATTTGTAACAGTCAAAGATTTAATTGTTACATGGTTCAAAATGAGCTTTGTTTTACTTCATTCACCAAGTGTATATAAGGTTATTTTTAAAGTGAGGCTGAATTGATACAGAAATACAAAAATGTACCAGAGAATGACATTCTCAGCTACAAAATGTCAGTGATCTGTTTTGGGGGAGGGGGGGGGGGCAAGATTTTGAAGAAGTCATATTTAAGAAATTTACCAAAAAAGAAGAGAGAGAGGAAAAGATGTGAAGAATATTGAAATATGATGTTGAAAAGTAAGATAGCAAGTGATATGAGGAGCATATATGATATAAAGAGATTTAATTTTTATAAAAGTGAAAATTATACACATGTGAAAAACAGTAATATGAGTACATTGTACTTGGAATCGGGCCTAAATATTTGTTCTCTGTAACACAACCAACTCATTTAGCTTTCATTACACAACAAGTTCATGATCGCTGAGATCTGTAGTCCCGTATATTCTGTACTATGACTCTTAATAGCAAGAGGCACATAGAACATGTAGTAACCTGAGTACTGTATATGATAATATCCTCAACCTGTGATGACATCTTGTATTGTGTATCAAATACATGGCTCATCAGTTCATCAGATCATCAGTATATATATATATGTGTAAATATTTTATTACCACATCATCAAGGTTCAAATGTGCATGGTCACGAAACACTAAGCACACATTTTGTGTTCAGACACATTCTAACGGAAGCGGTAACATTCAGTATTTTGGCTACCATTATTTTACTTGCTAGATCTCCTGTAAATATTTAACCTTGACATGACATACAAGTGATATAATGTGAGTTCCTAGTTTATCAGAACAACTGGTAAAAAGTTATACATGTAGTATAATGTTTAGTTGAGCTATTGTCTTGTTGCAATTGTGTGTCTGCATGGCTGACTGGAACCTCATCCTTCAGCACATGATATCTGCTACATGTATTGATTAAAAAAAACATTAGGTAGAAATCTAATAAATTCTTAATGAATTTGAAGCCTAAATGACAATCGGTAAACGTAATGAGCAGAGATGGGGTTTTTCAAGTTAAGGTTATGTGCAACCGTAAAAATTATATCTGTGAATCGTGATGGAGTTGTCTCCCTTGAAACAAATTATTACCTAACTATAAAAATTATATAAGAGCGCTTCATGCAGTCTGTATCATATCAAATATACAATAAGCATTATGATATACATTTCTAAACTGAGTATTTTTTGTCCTTTTCTTTACAGATGCTTTTTGTTGTCACATCGGTCATATTAACCCTGCATCAACCTATTCTGTCTTTGCACATTGCAGAGTTATCTTCTATTGATTATTACGTCATTGGTTTGTGTGAGAAAATTACGTCGTTTTCTCAAAAATTGATGACGTTACTCTCACAAACAAATTACGTACATTTGTAACAATCGATACCTGCTCATAAGAGAAGATAACTCTGCAATACGCAAAGACGGAATACAACTGTAGTGTTATCTGTTAAATATGTCAATGAACCTCACTTGTTAATCGAACAGTGATCAAAGGCTTACAGCTACCCCTATAGCATTTCACTTTCTGTTCGTAGAACATGTTTTTGTCCACAACTTAAGGTAATGATTTATATTTGTATAAAGGCCATGTTATAATTCTTTTGAAAAATTGGTTACCTGAAAATCATTTTGCACCCAAATCATCACCAAAATGTCAGTCTATTTGAGAGGTATCAGGATTTTATGGTTTAGGTATCAAGCAATGTGTATTTTTGTCGTCAGATGTTCAATCTTTGCATGGTAAAATATGGTTATGCTTGATCTTTGTGTCAAAACAAAAGCTATATATTTACCTCACCAGGGTATATGTCTGTAGGAAGGTTTGTTATTTTATATATAGTGTTAGCGCTGCGTGTGTATATCATTAATAATCTTAGTATCAAAATGAAATGTTTTTCTTTGAAATATCTTAAAAATTCACAAATATGTTATTATTAGCTTCAGATGATTTGTTCTGATTTGCATATTCATGTAAATGATAATAATTAATTTTTATTTATGTTTTATAACAACGAAAAAAGGAATTTACAAGTTCCGTTTTCTGATGCGCTATATCAATGCCGTACATCACAGTGACTAGAAAGTTTGGCGACTGGCTAGGCATAAGTGCACATTAACTGATTCTTCAGGGATTGGATACTTATCCAATGCACCAATGATATTAACTTACTTCAGGATCTGAGGTATTGCGCAGTTTATCTTATACATGTAATTTTATCTAATTTATGTATGGTATGACATTTGTGTGTATGATGTATGTGAGTTGTTAGATTGCGAAAAAAAAGGAAAGCAGGCTAATGTACTTCATATCTTAATCAGTAAACTGATAAATATATTTACTTTATAACAAATGTACCCGGCTCTGTGAACATTAGACCACCTTTGTGTCAACATATAGACACTATAGCTTATAATAGTCACTTTGATAACTTATTTTCTTGTCTAAATATTGACTTGAGCAAGTCTACAGGCTCTTAACTCATTCACCCCTGAAGACACATTTGAACTCTTCTAATTCAAAGGTTGGTATAGTTCATTATGAAATCTCAGGGGTGAATGAGTTAATAAATAAATAGCCGGCGTGCATGTAGAAGAAAATAGCTGATCACGAATTGAGTCTGTCCAGGTTGTGAGTGATCAACCAGGTGA